CAGCAAATAGCCTGAAAGTTGATCTCTTTACTTAGCCACGGACAGGGACGGATCCTCCGGTCCTCCAAGACTCACTCTTCTTCTGTCTCAGCACTGAGCGATAGCACTACCTCCAGGGGTTCCTCCGTGCACCTGCTGAAGGACATCTTAGTTACTGCCCAGCTTGGGCAGTTAGGAAGAAAGCTGCTGTGCGAGTGTTTGGGTGTGAAAGAGCATGGTGATTGACATGTGGCCCGTGAGCGTTTTTCGTTTCGGCAGGAACCACCCACGATGTCTGCCATTTTGCGTCCTCGTCGGCAGTGATGGGCCATTCCTATTAATCTTGCTCGTTGTTGGGCCTGGATGTTGTCCATGTCTTGGGTCTGCGTTTTTTCCACTGAGTGTGTATGGTAGGGTCTCATCGCTTTAATTTGCAAATCCCTCCTGACGCAGGATGTGGGAAGGCTCGCCATTGCCTCTTTGTCCGCAGACATGTTCTTTGGTAAGGTGTCTGTTCAGATTTTTCCCGTGTGTGTTCATTTAGCTGTTTGTGGTTTCTGCTAGTTTGTGGTTTGTCTTTTCATTCATTTGACAGAGTCTGTCTCAGAGCAGAAAGGTTTTCTGCTCAAGTCTTGCCTATCAATGATTTCATGGATTATGCTTTTGATTCTCTCTATAAACAGTAGCTGTGGAATCTAAGGCTATCTAGGTTTTCCCCCTCTGTTGCCTCCTACGACCATCCTGCTTTATGTTACATCCCAGCCTTCCACTTTGAGCTGAATTTTGTGAACGATATGAGGGCCATAGCTTCTGAATGTTTTTCCTCTACCTGTGGGTGCCATTTGTTGAAAGATCATCTTTCTTCCATTGTGGTAATTTTACCACTTTGTCATGGTGGACTGTGTGTGAGTCTACTCCTGGGCTCTTGTCTTTTGGTCCCTTAATCTCTCAGGCTATTCTTCCAACCCAGAGCTCGTTAATGCTGTTTTATGGTTAGTTTGGAAGGTAGATAGTGTCAGTCCTCTGACAGCTGTTTTTCTTTAGTAATGGGCTCTCTCTTCTGGGTCTACAGCCACTGCCTGGGAACTTCAGGACCAGGTGGTCAATATCCACCAAATGTCTTGCTGGGATCTTGATTGGGATTGACCAAGTTGGGAGGAAAGGATATCGGGACAAACTGGAGTCTTCATACCCACGAGCATGGAATGTGTCCCTTTCCGTTTTTGTGTTTGGCAAAATTAATATTTGCCAAAGATAATTTATATTGTGCCAATTCAACATGTAATTAAAAAGCAAAGAGTGTTGATGCATCCTGACGGTTTTGTCACATGAAAATTCTCTGCCCTGGCTTGGCACCATTGACTCTCAGCCTCCTGGGAGGTCAGGTGCCTCCTGTGCTCTGTCCTCCCTGCACTGCTGTTCCTGCGTCCAGGGACGCCCAGATGCAGTTGGGAAGTGGACCGTGTAGCTCACACAAGGCGAGCTCCCACTTTGTGTGCCAGGCTGCAGCACGGCAGGGCCGAGCCACAGCAAGACCGTGTGTGTTCCCAAGATGGAGATGAGACCGGGTGGCCCATGTGACCTCTGAGTCTCACGCAGGCTTCTTGAGGCTGCGTGTGGTGGAGCAAAATGGCACCTCAAGTCGTACAACTGCATTTCGCTGCATTCCTGTCACTTTCCATGTGCTGGTATCTCATCTCTTCCTACAGCTTCGCTTCACTGGGTGAGAAAAAGCTAAAAATATATATAAATATATATTAAAGCCAGATCATAGTATTGTTTTTTTCCACGAAGCTCTCCAGAGGTGGAACGGTGTTGCCCTAGGTCTGCCCCAGTCCTAACCCTCAGGTGGATTCTGCTTTCCTGTCATATCACACCTGCAGCTCAGACACATCGAGATTCTATATGATGCTGCTCTGTGCAGGTGTGTGAGAAGAGGCAAATCCCTAAGCCACAGTGTAATAACCTGAGAACCTTCTTGCTGATGGTCATAGCGTCTATCCCTCCTTCCTTCCCAATTATTAACTGTCTCCTCTCTCTGTCTCTCTCTCGTTCCCTCTCACCTTCCCTCCATCACCTCTATCACATCTCCCTACCAACATTTACAAATCTGTTCATATTCTACCCTCAGCTCTCTTTCTCTCTCTCTCCTCTCTCTCTCTCTCTCTCTCTCTCTCTATATATATATATATATATATATATATGTTCTGCTTGACTCTGAACAGCTGTTCTGCTAGAGCCAAAAGTGGCCCAAGACTTCTTTCCATATCTGCTCCAAACTTCTCCAACAGAGGAAAGAAAAACTTGAAAGCAAATAAGCAAGCCAGTGGATGAAGATCTCTGTTTTATTCATTGTCACATTTGAGTTCTAAAATAGAAGAGCAATATGTGATCAATTATACTCGATTCCTACCCTCCCTACAGAGCCACCCAAAGTCCGAGAGCAGAGATTAGGGGACCCCAAAACAAGCCCTCCAAGCAAGCAATGCTGGGTGGAAACTTCTAGAGAAACAGAATTTGATTTGATCTTGTCATGTAGAGGGGATATTTAGATATTTCTTCCCGGCCTAGATCTGGCAAACCAGTGGTGATTTTGAATGCTCCTGCGGTTGTACCCGTCACAGGAGAAGCCGTGTGGAAGAGCCCTGAGTATTGAGGGAGGTGAGATTGCTGACTCAAGGAGACTATTTTCTGACTCATTCACCACCCACTCTGGCTCTCAGCGACCCCTCTGAGCTGGTCATGTTGGGACCCTCGCTCACACCACTTTTCCAGACTCTTCACACTTTGGAAACCCCTTAAGCCAACTGTCACATGAATGTATAAAGATCCCTCCTTAGACTTAACGTCAAAAGAAACCAAACACATGCGACTCTGTTGCACACGCTGATGAGGTCCTGGCCAGTTGATCTCGTGTTGCTGGAGTCAGGGCTGGTATGAGAACCATAGAGGTCCTTAGACTCATGGACACCTTGCCGAGCAAGGATGGAAAAGTTAAGGAAAAGAGGGCTTCTTCCTCAATTTTTGCTAACTTTATATTTTGATAAAACTTAAGACTTACAGGAAAGTTTATAACAAACAAGGCAGTCTCCTGTATACACTTTGGCAGACTCACCAATGGTCATGTCTCTGATCTTCCTGCCTCTTCTCCACTCCCTCCCTTTCTCCATCTCTCTCGCTCGCTCGCTCTCTCTGTCTCTCTCTTCCTCTCACTCTCTTTATTTCTCCTTCACTCTCTGTCTTTCACATAGAAAACACACACATACATTCTGTCTTATCTCTGTCTTCTATCACATTCATGAATACACACACTAAGACAGAAGAACCATGTGTGAGCAGTTTGGCAACCTCACACTCTTTCCTTTACCGTACTGCAAAGATAATTTCCTGCTGCAGCCACCGCTCGGTGATGCCGTGATCAATACAAGGAGTTTAACATTTGCATGAGGTTTTTCTCCACATGTGTAAGTAACTCGAGTTCATCTCGCCTAGTCAGTCCCTTCTCCATCCCTGATCCCGTCCAATGTCGTACCTTGGATTCCGTGCTCCTGGCTCTATAGGAAAAGGTGTTCAGCCTGATTAAACGACCCTCAGATACCACGTGGCTCTGATTGTTGTCCAGGGAAGGTTGGATGGTGGACAAGCCCCTACTGGGGGCTTAACAAAATAGGCTGCAGGTAAAGAAAAGCAAGGTTCCTGTTGGTCAGCCTGAGTGCTGCAGCTGAGCTGCCTGCCACTCTCCTGCTGAATCTGAAATGAACTCCCTGTTGGCACCTTCAGGGAAGCAACCTGGCCACGGTGGAGGGGTGGATAGACATGGAGGAGAATTGCAGGGGTAGCTGACTGCCTTGGAGCAAAAGGCAAGACTTTGGCCAAGCGGAGCCACTGGGGAAACAGCCAGGGTTGTGACCGAGAGCTGTAGTGTAAGTTTCAAAGCCAGTGTTCCCACACTGTCGTCACCTTTGCATCTGAGACCACAAAGCTGGAGCAGAAGCTAGAGGGCTCAACCCAGACGGCTTGGAGAGCCCCTGTGCTGGTTGTGATGTCCAGCCAAGCAACCTCCTTTCTGGGCCTGGCCTCTCTCTCCTGTGCCCAGCCATGGGGGGTGCAGCAGCTGGAAGAGAGGAAGCACAGTGCTGCCCCAACGGAGGGGCCTCCTGCCCCAGTGTCACCTGCTATCACCCTCCAAGCTGCCCCTCCTTGCCACACTCCTTCCTCATGACTCACCTTGGAACTTTGCATTGCCCCTTGTCTCTCTCTTCAGTCCAGGTACCCCAACCCCATCCTGTCCTGGTCCCTTGTACTCTCAGCTGTGTTCCCGATCACAGGCCCACTGCGAGTCATCCATGGCCTGGGCGTTGGAGAGGCAGGCAGAGCTCCAGTGAAAACTTTTTGGAAGCCATTTTTTTTTTTAAGTAGAAGTGTCATCCCGTGTGTCTACTTACATTGGTAGCACATTTCAACCACGATGTCATACACAGTATGGCTTCAAGTCATTTCCCTGAGCCAATCCGTATGGGACTCGCTACTCATACAACACTATGGCTATAGGAAAAGGCATGCAGAGTTCTAGAAAATTCTATCATGTACCCATTTTCCCAGCCAGCTAGCCCAACTTTGTGTCTGACCATGTTCCTGAGAGCTTGCACAGATAAAGCCTTCTACATCCATCGTGTTCTTTGTAAGTATTGTGGATAACATCTCCCAGTGAGCCAAGTTTAACTACAAGGATAAAACTGAGCAACTTGAAAACCCTGGGAGACTCATGGCAGGAAGACTATCTCTGTTGTTGCTGTTGTTGTTTTAAGAAGAATCATGTCGGTATCTCAAATAAACTTTTCAGCCAGAGTTGGTGTGTTCTTAGTGGGCGACCTCTATCCCACAGTTATTTCAGACAGGGCGTCCTTGGATATACGTGGGAAATGCTTTTCTCCTCTGTGTCTGCCAGCCTTTTGACTTGCGGAGTACCTTGGGCCAGACTCATCCCTCTGCCATTCTCTCTTTGTGCCTGGTGTACCCAGCGGGTGACCGACAGCCGAGAGAGCCAGATGACCATCGAAGAGAGGAAGCAACTCATTACCGTGAGAGAGGAAGCCTGGAAGACAAGAGGCAGAGGGGCTGCCAACGACTCCACCCAGTTCACTGTGGCTGGCAGGATGGTGAAGAGAGGTCAGGGTGTGTGTGTGTGTGTGTCTGTGTGTGTTTGTGGTGTGTGCACCTGTACACGTGTGCTCATGCTCACCTCTGGGGATGAGGGTGCTATGTGACAGCTCAGTGAAATTTTAGAATATTATTTTTTAAATGTTTATTTTCATTATTTAAAAGGTAGAATGATCTTCTGTATGACAGTCTGCTCCCCAGATGCTCACAACAGCCTGGTCTGGTGCCCAGCCAAAGTCAGGTGCTAGAAACTCTACCTGGCTGTCCCACTCGTATGGCCATCCCTGCTGCTGCCCAGCGCACACATTAGCAGGGAGCTGCAGCAGAAGCAGAGCATGTGGGTCTTGAACTCTGCTGTGAATTACAGGCATCCCAGGCAGTGATGACCTCTGTACTACATGGTCCGCCCTCGGCTACCCTCTTTCAACTTTCTGTACTTAATGATGTTGTGTCAATGTTTGAGGTTAAGTTCTATGAGACATTCCTACTGAATATAACAAATAGCTCCTCTTCAGAAATGATTTGTTAGTGTCTTACACCATGTGAGATATTTAATTCAGCTTTCACTCTCTAAAAACTTTCCCACTTGGAACTTGAGTGCACCTGCTGCTTTTGCAAGCAATTACAGATGTGCTGACACTTCTCGGTGCTTTCCTGCCATTGCCTTAACTTGCTTCCATTTTCATGCAACCTGGCAGTATGCAACACCCCCAAAGGAAGCCTTTGGATCCATTCCTGGGCTCCTCTTCAGCAAACCAGACTGCCAAGGCCAAGGGCAGGTGCAATGTTTAATAGATGCATCCCATTCGAGAAGGGAGTTGGTCCCTCTGCAGCTGAACTATGGAGCTGTCTTGAAGCCCACGTCAAAGACAAATGAAGCCAACCCTCAACCGCCTGCTTAGGGAGATCACCAGAGAGCTCTGGGGCTCCATGGGCACCTCTGGGGTTTGATTTCCTGCCCTGCAGGAAGTGGTTAAAATGCTGTCTCAGGTTCAGCTTTGTGGCACCAGGAGTTAAGCCACCCCTTGCAGTTTTGGCATCCCATATGAGTGCCAGCTCAAGCTGCTCTGCTTCCAATCCAACTTCTTGTTGGTGAATTTGGAAAGCAGCAAAAGATGTCTCAAGTACTTGAGCCCACACTACCCATGTGGGAGACTCAGATGGAGTTCGTGGCTCATGGCTGAAGCCCAGCCCAGCCTTAGTCACTACCATCATTTGGGGAGTGAATCAGCAATGAAAGATATTTATATTCTCTCTCTCTTCCTCTCTCTCTTTTTCTCTCTTTCTCTCTTTTTCTGTCTCATTCTCCCCTCTCTCTCATGCTGCTTTCCCCCCGACTCATGAGCAGGGATATGGAGCATTGGATATGGAGCAGCCAGAACGCAAACCAGTACTCTTATAGGATACCAGCATCACAGGGAGCAGCCTTATTATTACACTACAAGGCCAGCCCCATAAATTTATCTTTCAATTCCATTCCAATTTATGTAATTGATTCCATCTTGCCACAAATGTTTTGGAATCCTCTCATATGTGTTTGTAAAACATGTACATGTGGAGAAGTACATCTAGAAAACTTAAAAATTAAGTCCAAAACCTGTGCACCTGTATTTTTCCTGAATTTTATTATGCTGTAATACTTTTCCCAGTTACAGGAGAATAGAGCAGAAAAATTCAGTCATGTATTGTTCCTTGTGAGTGGTTCCTCAAGGGACACTTACAGAGGTCATGACATCGAAGAATCTCATATTTATTGCAAGTGAATACCAGACACCAGGAACATCTTATTTCCTTGTAAGTGCATGAATGACTTCCCTCTCCAGCCAATTCTGAGATTAGGGAAAGGTACTTAGCTGTCACTTCAGCTGAGTTTCCTCTTTCCAAATAGAAATGCTCCATCACCATGTACCCTTTCCTCTTTAAGAGTTGTTTGCTAATCTGAAAGGCAAAGAGGAGGAAAGAAACAGCAAGCCAGGAACTAGAAACTCCATTCTGGTCTCTCACGTGGGTGCCAGAACCCAAGACTCAAACCATCACTTTTTATGGCTTTCCCAGATGCATTGGCAGGGAGCTGGATTAGAAATGGAGCAGCTGGACTTCAACCTGTAGCTTGTCAATGGCTTCAGTCCCCCAAAACACTAAAATAGTCCTTACATTTCCTCACACCTGACTACGAAACCTGTCATATGCACCTGTGTGTGGGTGTGTGCACCGTTGTGTGTGTACCTGTGCATGTACGTGTGTGTGTGTGTGTGTGTGTGTGTGTGTAAAATTTCTATGGGTTGTGTAGTCTACCCGGAACTAACAGAGACCCTCAAGGTCCCAGCTTGGCAACAATGATGCCATACTGCTAAGTGGCTCCTCTGGTTGTTGTGCAGGTCTGGCCTCCCCTACTGCCATCACACCGGTGGCATCCCCAGCTGGCACCAAGGCAAGGGGCACCACGCCAGTCTCCAAGCCGCTGGAAGGTAGGTGTGCAGAGTGGCTCCTGGGCTGGAGGTCCTAACCCCGGGGACCCTTGGCATCCCATGCATACTGGGATATTGTTCCCTCCGCGCAGATATCGAAGCCAAGCCGGACATGCAGCTGGAGTCCGACCTGAAGCTGGACAGGCTGGAGACATTCCTCAGGAAGCTCAATAGCAAAGGTACCAACAGCGGGAGGGGCATGACTTCCATTCACCAGGGATCCTGGGACATCTGAACAGAATGCTACTCCTCCCTGCAACCCCCTCCACTCTGATCTCCCTCTCTCCACCACTCATTCACCACACAAGGATGAGCTTTCTGAGCCAGATGGCAGACAAGGAAGCTTTGGCCCGGCCTGATGGGCTTACCAAGGCTGACTCACTTTGACACTCTATATAACTAAGAACTTCATGACTTTGCTTTTAACCTGACGGCAGGTTGTGCATTGTAAACATCACCACTGTAGTCTTGGCCCTGGAATCACTGAATTGTGTGTCTCAGTGTCCAACAAAGGAACAAAGCTAATCTCATAATTACAAACCCCAAATGATTTCCAAAAAGAAGGAAAAAAAAAAGGAATTCTGTGGAAATAAATATCTGAAAGAGTAGTAACCTTTTATCTCTTGATAAAAATGTCTAGAAGTTGAAGTTTAATCGGACTAGGATCTGGCAGTCCTATTGGCCATGACTTCCAAGTCACTGAACACAAGCAACCACTATGAGCCCAGAAATATAAAAAGGTGATAACTGGGGAGACCCAGAACACAAGTGTTGCAGAATGTGTGGCACATGAGTACGTGTGCCACGAGATGGCGATCTGGCCTAGGCATTGGCAGCCAGTGGCCATGGCCATGACCAATTGTCTACCTGCTTGCTAAGTCAAACTTTCTTGAAGCACGGCTGTGCCCATTCGTGAGCATTTTTGCAGGATAGCGGTAGAAATGAATGATCACAAGCCAGGCCATGTGGTTCCCCATGGATAAACAGTACCCCTGGCAGGAACAGAAGGGGCAACGGCTGCTTCTTGCTCCAGTAGGGTTGGCAACAAGCTCAGAAATGCTCAGTGGCCTGGCTTAGCAAAAGCAGCCTCCGTCCCTGCCACCACCCATCTGTGTAAAGCTCATGCAGGCGAAATGCCCTGTGGCTTCTCATGGACCACGGCACCCTGCGTGTCCCTGTCCTGTTTTCTCCCCTCCTGGCATTTAGCAGGGGGCATGACCTCTCAGCATGACCAAGATACGATGGTTTTTCTCTAACGCGTTCTGTTTCTTCGCTGGCTCGTTGATCATTGAAGGAATGCAAGAGACTGTGCTCAGTGTCACGGGGCAGTCTGTCAAGGAGGTGATGAAGCTGGATGATGACGAAACCTTCGCCAAGTTCTACCGAAGCATGGACCACAATGTGCCCAGAAGTCCTGTGGAGCTGGAGGAGGACTTCGACGTTCTTTGCGATCCCTGTTCACCCAAGTGAGTCATTGTTCGTCCTTTCTCTCCCAAGAGGGGCTTTCTTCCTCTGCCTCCCTGCAGGATTTTCTTGAAGGATTTTTTTTTTCTCCTCATCTCCGGGTTCTGGGCAGGGCTAGGGATGCTTCTTATTGCCAAGGGCCTTTTAGATTTTTTGAAAGCATCATCTGCAAGCCATACAGAATCATGAGCTTAAACGGAGGATGTGTTGAATTGCAAGCCCTGCCTGCGGTTGCCTTGGCAGGTGCAGAGAAGGTAGTTTCAGGGGCTTTCTAGAGCCTACAGGTTGGATGCTCCTTTGGAGCATGAGTGTTAACTCTGTTACTCTGCAGACAGTTACAAGGTGCCACAGGTCGGATGAGACCTGTGTGCCACAGCCCAGAAGGCACGTGCCACACACTTGTCGGGGCCATTAGGTTGTCCTGTAACCTGGGTATCATCTTGCAGGCTTCTCGATGGGCATCAGTTAGCAGAGATTTCTATGCCTGTCAGTCAATTCAGCGTATTAAATCATCACTCATACCAAATGCATGATGATAACAGCCTTCCAGAAAATTTGGAAAGAGCATGGCTTAGCTTATAGTCACGTGTGGCATTGATAGATCGCAGGCTTTCTCAGCAGTTTTCACAAGGTTCTGTTTTCACACAGGAGTTCCGTAAAACTACCAAAGGGAAGTTAGTACAGTACTAGGATTCCCTCTCTCCAAAGTGCCAGGATTTAAAAAAAAAAAAAAAGAAAGGAAAAACTCTTCAGCATACAAAAGGTGCGGGGAGATTTAGGAGCTATTGCATGAAGAGTACAGGTATGAACTCAAGTTCAAGGTGCCAGGCAAAATGTGGTCTCCCTGTGGTTGTTCACTCAGGGCAGGGCATCAACCATGGGGTGGGAGGTGGCCACCCTGGCACCACATAGATAGACTACCTGCCTGGCCAGCATCAACCAGGCAGCTTCCCTTTCCACCCGTTCCAGTCAAGTTCCAGGTTAGATTCCCGTGGTCTTCAGGGGACCCTCTCTCCATCATCTATTTCCCTGAGATGCGTGGGGCATTTTTCGGTTGCTTCATTGACATCTCTCAATTTCTGAACTGAAAAAAAATACTCATGGTCTATTTGTCATATCCATCCTTAGAATAATACTTTGGGTCTTTGTACATGATGGTTATTCAGCCTTTTCTCCATCTCCTCCTCACCCAAAGGGCGTGGTTGAAATTGCTCTGTACCAGCATTTAAACAAACAGCTCTGTATGTCTGCTCGCACACCGTGGTGTTCAGGGAGTTATTTTTGCCTAGCATCAGAAGCTTGCAGGAGCGAACTGAGCGTAGCTGCAGCAGTGGCAAGGATCTGCTGGGACAACAAGCTGCTTGGTCGAGTGTCTCCATGCCAGAGAGTGCTGAGTGCAGCAAATGTTGTAGGCGATGCCGCACACTTGTCTTCTTTCTAAATACAGTCGTCCCTTGATGCCCATGGGAAATGAGGGATTCTAGCACAGCTCATGCCCATTGTTGAACATGGTACCACCTGCAGGGTACCACATCCCCACGGGTGTTCTAAATCCCCTGGAGATGACTTGTAACACCCAAAACCACATAAAGGAGGTGCAAAGAGGTGTTACTGGGTTCTCCTTAGGGAATAATGATGCAAAAATAGAGTCTGTATGTGTTCAGTCTGTGCATGATTTTATTTTTTGGATCTGCAGTTGGTGGAATCCATGGATGTTTCACCCATGGATGTGGAGGGTCAGGTGTATTTGGGGAGGGCGGGGTGAGGGGGGTAGTTCTTTTCCCAAGAGTCAGAGAGGCTGGAGCAGCAATTGCAAGGTTTAGCGCGGAAGAAAGAGGCCACCTGCATCTGAGAAGGGCTTTCCGAAGCAGACCCAGGTATGTTATCACCAGGAGATGAGTTTGTTCCTGTTGGCACAGGGGGCAGACGGAAGACAACCAGGTCATACAGGGCTGCTAGCTAGCAGTGGAACCTAGAGGTTGTCCACGAGTGGGGCAGCGTCTTCCGGGGTTGGTTGGTTCCTTGAACTCGGTGACTTGCACCTCTTCCTGCGAGGGGCTGCCAGGAGGAAGTATCAGGGCAAACGTGTGGATCCATGCAGTCAAGCCATGGGGTGCAGAACTCAGCCCCAGCTCCGCTTCGCCCCACAGGCTAACGTTCTCTGTGGCCGAGCACAAGCGCGCGGTCAGGCCCAAGCGCCGGGTACAAGCTTCCAGAAACCCCCTAAAGATGCTGGCCGCCCGGGAAGACCTCCTGCAGGAGTACACGGAGCAGAGACTCAACGTGGCCTTCATGGAATCCAAGCGGATGAAAGTGGAGAAGCGTGAGTACCGGCCTCTCCCCGCTGTCCCTGTGCTGCACGGCCGCCCACCGCTAACGCATGTGAGCATGCGTGCTGCTGGAACCTGGACGGCGACTCCCCACCCTCAGAAATCCGACTTGCACGGTGTAGGTCTTGCGTTTCGATTGGGTGGTTGACATCGTCCTGCGTTCCCAGTGCCCTTGGCAGAGGTTGGGCGCTGAAGGCCGCTTCTGCTTTGAGCGACTCAACCCAGTCCTTCTCAACTTCGTCTAATTCGAGAACAAATTACTAAAACGCTTTGGGGGGAATGAACTAAACCACTGCTTTTCCTATCCCTCGTTTTGCATGTTGTTAATTTACAAATTGTTTGCGGGAGATCCTCAAGGTGTTTGAGTTGGAAGGGAACTAGGAAGGGTGGGAGACTTGCAATAGGAGTCCTAAGCACAATGAGTGAGGAGGTGGGCTCTCTCTCCCAGCTCCGCTGCAGGCCAAGCCTGTCCTGCCTGTGCTGCCCTAGAGTGTTTTGGGGGAGGTCATGGCACATGTGATCCTGCTAACTTAAATAGTCCTCCTGGGATTTTTATGGACTGTGTCCTTCATAAACTGTACCCTAAGATTTTTCTTAGAAATGCACATTGAACGTTTGTCACCTATAAACTCAAGCTCCAACATACTCCACAACGCAAAACTTTAAGAGGACTCACTTTAAGAGGACACTTGCACGCCTGCGTTTCTCTTTAAAATGTATTTGTTTTGAAAGAGTTGCAGAGAGAGAGAGAGAGAGATCATCCATTTGCTGGTTTATTCCCCTAGGTGGCCACAACAGCCAGCACTAAGCCAGGCTAAAGTCAGGAGCTTCACCTAAAGTCAGGTCTCTCATGTGGGTGATAGGACCTCAAATGCTTGGGCCTCCTTCTGCTACTTTTCCCAGGCCATTGGCAGAGAGCTGAATCACAGGTGGACCAGCCAGGTACATGAGCCAACCCCATACAGGATGCTGGAGTGGCAGGTGGCAGCTTTACTTGCCGTGCTACAACACTGGTCTCCAAGAAAATCTACTGCAAAATTCCTGTGTCACATCCAAAGGTCCATTCTGTGACAAATTTTCAGTGTTTGAACCTGGTCTCAATGAGGTCGCTCTCTGAGCTTCTCCACATAGACATTTCTAGAACCTCAAGTTGGAGAAGCAAACGAGTTGCCAGGACTCCCGATAGCATTAAGATAGCACATCTACACTGTCACTCAGTGCCTGTCCTCCTGACACCTGTCACCTGGCAGTTTATACGTTCATGGAATTCTTAACGTGGTGGGTAAGCTTAGAACAGTAGTTACTCCAACTTGAGACTACCTTTCCAAAACAAAGGTGTGGGGCAACCATGAAGGGGCTATTTGGGATGCCAGCATCCCATATTGGAGGACCCTGGGGCTGAGTTCCCTTCTGCTTCCGATCTTGCATTCTGGGAGACAGTGGGTGATGGCTGCCAGCACTCTTGGGGGATGCCTGGATGGAGTTCCTGGTTCCTAGCTGTAGCTGTTGCAGCCATCTGGGGAGTGAACTAACAGGTGGAAGACTGATTGATCTCCACCTTTCAAATAAGTAAACCAAAGCAATTGGACATGGCTTAAGGATGGCGAACAGAGGCACCAGATCCACCATGAGTGCTTTCTGGCTGCAAGCCATTGTCATGGCAACGAACATCTCTCCCCTCTCCCCCATGTCTTGCCATCCACCTAGTGTCTTCCAACTCCAACTTCTCAGAAGTGACCCTGGCCGGCTTAGCCAGTAAAGAAAGCTTCAGCAACATCAGCCTGCGGAGCGTCAACCTGACCGAGCAGAATTCCAACAACAGCGCTGTGCCCTACAAGAAACTGATGTTGTTGCAGATCAAAGGTATTTCCAAGCATCCACAGCAGCTTCCAGGTTGGGCTAGAGGCTTGTGCTGGTCGTGAGCAGTCCTCAGTGCTTCCCCCCACCCACCACCCTCACCTGTAAGGACAAAGGAACTCCAGGCTCTTTGAGAACCTACTGAGTGCTGGGTGCTGCCTCCCATCATTTCAGATCCACTGACGTGCGAGCAGGCAATAGTTTGCCCGCTGGGGCTCTGGAAGGTGGTGCTGAGTGGTGGCGCTATCTTGGAACCCAGGTCTCTCAGCATTTATTCCTGCTCTCCCTGGACCCCATGACACTTGCACGCCTTGCAGTTAGCAGCTGCACTCTAAGAGTGACTGTACTGTCTCTCTCTGATTCCTGGCCCTTGCCGAGCACGTTGAAACCCAGTCAGACCAGAGGAAAAAGGTTGCCTTCCTGGGGGAAGGAATCAAGGCAAAGCAGAAGCAAATGAAGCAGACCTAGATCCCACCCTCACACCCTTTTGATCCTAGCCAGGGAGACACGGAGGAGGACAAGGACAGCTCCAGGTCAGGAGGAGAAACACTGTGTCTCCCAGTGGGAGCCTTACAGATCAATTACCAAGAGAAGGATGAGTGAAACAGGTGTCTTGGCACATCCACCCTCCCCTGTAGCATGGTCAACAGACCAGCAACAAGCTCAGGAAACATATATCTCTGCTGGCCGCATTGTCATGGAAAGATGAAAGCCAACCAACCACAGGGGGTGAAACGCAGCTTCCATCTCAATTGACTCAAGGTGTCCCCTTGTAGTTCACAGTGGGAGCACCCCAAGAAGGAGGAAGATCCAATAGGAGCACATTGTCTTTGCCTATGGGGTGGTGATGGACAGGTGGGAGCTGACCTAGGTGCAGAGGAAGGCACTAGGAGGAAAGAGAAGGGAAGGAAAGGAAGGCACGTGTTTGCCCCTCTTGTTGGAGGGCAAACCCTTTACTCACCCATGCACCTGCAGGAGAAAGACCCTGGGAACGGTCCCAAGAAACATGGTGATCTTGGCAAAACCCTGAGCAGGGAACATGATGGACATGTTTTTACCTTTAAGTCCCCCTCCTCACCCAACTGCATCCTGGGAGTTACTGGACCCTGGGATCCTGAATCTGGCATGGTGGGAATTGGGAGGACAGGGGCAAGGCAGAAGGGGTGCCTCTGCTGCAGGGTGCAGCCCAGTTGGTCCCAGTCCCACCTGTGGAGAGAAAAGTGACTCTTGCCTCACGTCCAGGAAGAAGACACGTGCAGACAAGGCTGGTGGAACCACGGGCACTATCCCTCAACAGTGGGGACTGCTTCCTGTTGCTGTCCCCTCAGCACTGCTTCCTGTGGGTCGGGGAGTTTGCAAACGTCATAGAGAAAGCCAAGGTGGGTGCCAGGAACCCAGCGTGCCGACGTGCACTCAATTTTCCCCACGTGCCAAGAGAATGTTCTACTGGCTGTCAGATCCCTCTACTGTTTCCCCAGGGCCAGCAGTTGTGGCGTTCCCATTCCTGAAGACTTTTCAGACAAGCTTTCCTTGGGTACACGTGTAGAATGTTCTAGAAGATGCAGGCACACACCTGGAGTTGTTGAAGTCTTGGGTGAAAAGCCAATTGGCAGCCACTTCAACATTCTCTACCCTGGTTTTCTGTTCGAGTTCAGATTTACCCAAGCAGCATCTTGTGGGACAGATCCCTCCACAAAGTAGAGGGATTTTTATCTTCTCAGAAAGACAGAATTACAGAGAGGAGGCAGAGAGATCCTCTCTCAAGCAGAGCTGAACCATTCCGAAGCCATGTGAGTCACGAATGCAAGCACTTGGGCCGTTCTCCGCTGCCTTCCCAGGTCATAAACAGAGAGCTGAATCGGAAGTGGAGCAGCTGGGACTCGAACCAGTACCCATCTGGAATGCTGGTGCTGCAGTCAGAAGCTTAGCCAGCCCCAACAGGATGATTTTTTCCAAAACTTCACATGTGCCCTCTTCACTACAGGAAATGGTGCACTTACGGAGCCCAACATTAGAAACTGCTGCTCTTTCTGAGCTAACATTTTTCCTGATCTCATTGATGACTACACAGCAGTCAGGGTCCCCTTGCCCCTGTGGTGGGGAGTGTTCACAGAACACATCATCTCAGCAGGTGCCACAGTGCCATCCTGCCCCAATAATTGTGTTCCTGTCATTTTTCTCAGGCCTCCGAACTTGCGACTTTAATTCAGACGAAGAGAGAGCTTGGTTGCCGAGCATCCTACCTGCAGACCATCGAAGAAGGCATCAACACACACACGCATGCGGCCAAAGACTTCTGGAAACTGCTGGGCGGCCAAACCAGTTACCAGTGTAAGAGTCTGGTGCATTTCAGAAAGTGGCAAGTGGGGAACCCCCCTTGTCCCCCCTCACCCCCTGTGCCACTAATGCCCCGTGCCAAGTGTCATGTTGTCTTGTTGTTATTCTAAAGCTGCCGGGGATCCCAAAGAGGACGAACTGTACGAAACGGCCATCATAGAGACCAACTGCATCTATCGGCTGGTGGATGACAAGCTCGTGCCGGATGACGACTACTGGGGGAAAATCCCGAAGTGCTCCCTTCTGCAATCGAAAGAGGTAGGGCCAGGGGGCAGAAAGGGGAACTGCCCCCAGCAGCAAGCAGCCTGGCTGCACTCCACACTGGTCTGCCAAGTACCGGGGGCACCTGGGCAAGACCAGCAGGCGCCCACAGCGTGGATAGCTATGGTTTGCTGCCACTGCTACTGCCCTAACATACTAACCAGATTGAGACGAGGCACAAGTCATTAAAAAATGTGGCCACTGTAGGTAAAACGTACGTGAGACTTAACCCTATCACTTGGATTTTTTTGCCAGTTACATAGCCATGGGTAAAGACAAATCATGGGCTTGCCAAATAGTGCACTGATTTCAGCCCAAACGTATGTATTAATTGCAGGTATTTTTAGTACCATTAAGTATTCTAAGTGTTTAAAAAAGGCGCAAAAGGTAACAAAAGGGCCTTTGCTGTCATCGAAAGAATGTAGTTGTCCTGTTTTCCAGCAAACCAGCGCACGCATCTTACTTTCCTCTCATTCTCTGCTATCCAATCCAGGCTTCTTGATGTTGTTAGTAGTTCAGTTATTCTTCTGGGACATTTTAGGTCAATAAAACGTTTCAGGCCTTCTCGAGCCACTGCGTACTTCACATTAGAGTTGGCGGTAACTAGCATTTGCACGCCTGCCTCTCAGATGAGCTTGTAAGCATCATGTGATGATCTTGAAAGCATGGTGATGTAGTGGCCCCATAGCTTAAGTATATGAGAGAAGAAATAAACAAGGGAGATAGAGAGGCATCAGAGACAAGCAGGCACGAGACGACAAAGGAACGTGCAGTGAAGGGGCTCTTCTCTGAGCCAAGTGTCTTGGGTGTTTTGAAAAAATCTCAGTGGCGGTGGGGGCACCACTCGATCATTTGACTCCCTGCACCCAGAGGCCCCGCTGCAGTTAGCTGGAGCTGATTTCGTTCTCCAAGCTCCCTCTGTGCTGTTTCCCTAGGTGTTGGTGTTTGATTTTGGTAGCGAAGTGTACGTGTGGCACGGCAAGGAAGTCACGTTGGCGCAACGGAAGGTCGCGTTCCAGCTGGCCAAGCACCTGTGGAACGGAACCTTTGACTACGAGAATTGTGACATCAACCCGCTGGACCCCGGAGAGTGCAATCCGCTTATCCCCAGGTACTCCTGCAACCTGAGGATGGTGGCGAGGGCATGCCCACCCCGGGCACCATGCTCACTGCAGCCAGGTGTCCACTGTGGCTCTGCATGGGTTTCCCATTTTCCAAAGACTTGCACACCGTGGGCCCTGGATAGTCCCCCAAAGAGCATTTCTTTAGCTTTGACCCAAGCATACAGAAAGCAAGATGGGCTTTGTCGTCTCCTGGAACACGCCTGTGTTATTTAGAATTCCTTGCACTTAGCAGACAGCTGCCCATGCAGCACTGCAGGGGCTGTGGGCATTCGGCCAATTACAGGCTGAGCCCAGGAGCTTTCACGCAACTAGCAACTCAACAACTGATTTAGAAGGGCAGGAGCAACCTGCTTCCTTCTTGTTTCCTATTCCCCAGCACAGCGCCTGAATTCTGGGACGTGTTTGGTCATGGATGAAGGCTGCACCTTTACGCCTCTGGAGAGGCAACAATGTATGCACGGAAATCATGGCTATAATCTCAATGCTCCCACAGTGTCCTGGTTTGGTGACTCCGTTTTGGCCAAGCCCAAAAAATACATGCAAATTCTAGGAGATAGGATGGCAAAAATTAATTTTGACATAAAAGGGGGTATTTTAACCGCCAGGGCAAAGACAAAACCAGCACGTTTTAACTGCAAGTGCCATACAGTAAAGTAGCAATTGCAGCACCTCCCAGCAGCACAGAATACTCAGATACTGCCCATCATTCAGTGTCGCTGTCATGTTTTTCATTAAACTAGAATACCGACTGTTTTCCTACCTAGTTTCTTGTATACCAACCAACTATCGATTTCATGCATAGTTAATTATCACTTTAGGACCTGATATGTCCATGTGTTTTTAAAAAATCAGTTTCTTTTAAAAATTTACTTTATTTGAAAGGCAGGGCTGGGCCCAACATGATAGCTTAGCGGCTAAACCCTCAGCTTGCATCCACCAGGATCACATATAGGTACCAGTTTGTATCGCAGCTGCTCCACTTCCCATCCAGCTCCCTGCTTGTGGCCCGGGGAAAGCAGTAGAGGATGGGCCAAAATCTCAGGACCCCACACCCACGTGGGAGACCTGGAAGAAGCTGCTGGTTCTCAGCTCCAGCTGTTACAGCCACTTGGGGAGAAAACCAATGGATAGAAGATCTTTCTCTCTGTATTTCCATTCTCTCTGTGTGTCTGCGTTTCTAATTAAAAAAATAGAAGAGATCTGAAGATCTTCCACATGCTGATTCACCCTCCAAGGGCTGGGCTAGGTCAAAGGCAGGAGTCAAAAACTCCATCCAGGTCTCCCGCGTAGGTGCCAGGGACCCAAGCATTCGAGCCATCTTCTGCTGCCTTGCGAGGTACGTTGGTGGGGAGTTGGATTCGATTTCAATCAGCTGGGAATTGAAGAGGTGCTCCTATGGGCTGTCAGCATCATAGACAAAGGCTTGCCCTTTGGCACCACAACACTGGTCCTGAAAAATGTTTAAATCCTTCTCAAGGCCAATGTGAATTTCACATTAGCATCATAGCAGCCAGTGCCCGCAGGGCTGCAGCTCCAGCTCAGACTGTGCCAGTGTTTGGTCAAGGAAATGCAAGGCATAATACAGCAGGATCTGTCATGGGATGGCCCACTCTGTCACAGAGGAACCAGACAGCAGGGGAATGGGCACCTCATCCTCTGGGTGTCCCTGGCACACAATCAGCCTGAGGGCCTTTGATAACATGCGTTTTTCAGGCCGGGCCTCGAACTGTGCTTTCCGGTTGTGGGTGGGTTGAGTTAGGCATGAGTGAGCCTTCGAAGCTCCCCCAGGTCCCTAAGGCTCAGCTGAACCATCAGATACCAGGGCTTCTCCAACAAGCCAGGAGGTGAGACCACTGAAGTGTCAGGGAGGGAGGTGGCAAGGGAGCCTCAGCTGCCATCTGCAGGTCCCCAGCTCTGGCCTTGACTGTCGCCACTGCCAGTCCGAGGGGCCAGATTCCTTCCGGAGCAGAGAGCAGGCACTCTGCGTGGTCGTCTTGGTGAGTGCGCAGAGCCAGACGCTCACGGAAACAGCCATCCACATGCTTTCTGAGACTTCCCTGTCGTGTGCTGAGGCTCAGCTCCTGCAGCCACAGGGCAGTGCGGACAGACACGTCCTGTCCTTTCCGCGGGTCCCTTGGGATCCTGTGGAGCACACAGCCTCTTGGCCATGGTGTGAGACCCCAGGGTCTAACCCAAACGGGAGATCAACTGGTGCACATGGCATGGACGGGGCATGACAAAGACCACTTGTGGGTCTCACAGGCACATGACGTGGTGCGTCCCATGATCCTAGTTTGCAGTCACAATTGGCCGGGAGGCTTGAGAACTGTCACTTAGATGCCATGAAGGCTCTCGCTTCTTAAGGAGCTGTATCCTCCTGCACGGCGTCAAATTCTAAAACCCTTCCAATGCACAGGATCTCTGGCTTACTATTCCTGTCTCCTTGTCTTCGGGCTCTACCTGCTTTTTTATCACATCATGTGACAAAAGTGCAAATGAATGCACCTTAAGAACCAGGAGCAAACAGTGTCCCGTGGGCTTGGGGGTTTGGCTGTATCGTAGGGTCAAGTTGTAAGGCAGACGGGGCCAGGTGCCTCTTCCTGGCACCTGCTGACTGCCTACCCAGAGAGGGTTGTCAGACACACTGGTTCCCGCGCTGACTTGTAGACCACCCCCCAGGGATTCCCACAGTGTAGAACTTGCTAGAATGCAAGGGAAAGGTCCAGTCCTGACATGATCCGTGTCACAGGTAAACAGCTGTTGCAGGCTCTCAAGCTACAATGATCTCACCTACTCTGTATTAGTCACTGAGAACAGCCCATGAGGTCGTGGTCAGCATCTTGCCTCACTTGTATTTTCTTTTGTATTTTTATGCACTGTCTTGGTTCTTTTTTTTTTTTTTAATCTCCTCCTCTGCTGAAGGAAAGGCCAAGGCCGGCCAGACTGGGCCATATTTGGGCGACTCACAGAACATAACGAGACGATTCTGTTCAAAGAGAAATTCCTTGACTGGACGGAACTGAAGAGGCCCAACGACAAGAATGGGGGAGACCTCGCCCAGCAGAAGGTACGCTGGGGCACCGAGGGCATGGGTGGGGTCTCCACAGAAGTTGGCCCTGAATGCTCATGTCCACTGGCAGAATTGCACAGTCCGTTCACACACAGGCACTGGTGGCTGTGCGTGGCCAGGCCTCCCGAGGTATCCCCACCTTGTGCGGGTCACGTGTCCCGATGCCTGGCGGGGAAACAGGATGTCCATCCCACCCCTTTAGCATGCAAGAAGTGATGGCTGCAGACTCAGAGGTAACTCCATGAATGCTTCCATGCTCCTTCCCACCTCCACCCCCCACCTCTAGGAAGACCCCAGAGCTGAGGTCAAGGCTTGCGACGTTTCTCGAATGGTCGCCATGCCCCAGGTGACGACCGCCACCATTCTGGACGGGGTCAACGTGGGCCGCGGCTACGGCCTGGTGGAAGGCGATGACCGGAGGCAGTTTGAGATCACCAGTGTCTCTGTGGACGTGTGGCACATCCTGGAATTCGACTACAGCCGGCTCCCCAAGCAGAGCATTGGGCAGTTCCACGAGGGGGACGCTTATGTGGTCAAGTGGAAGTACATGGTGAGCACCACAGGTCAGTGAGCGCATGCGTGTCTCCCACCAGTGGCCTCGCTGCTGGAGGGCAGCGTTTCCTGTGTGCACCTGTCACCGCTTGTGTTTCGTGTCGGGTCACGTGCTTCCGAGGGCTTCCCTAGACAACAGAAATTCAAGGAGAATCTCTGGTCGCCACCCCACGGCTCCTACATTCACTCACAGATGCACAACTGGCTGCTTAAATGTTCTCCTTTCTCCCTTGCTCCTGTCCCTGAGCTCGGAGCTTGTCTAGGACAAGTAGAGGGTTTGCTTCCAAAGGATTTTTGTTTTGGACCATGCGGCTGTGGGCTGCTAAAAGCCATTGCATACAACTGAACTGTATGCTAGGCAGCGAAATGAAGGTATAACACCATAGCAAATAGAAGAATCTCTTAAAATAGGAAATGGTTGGAGCTCTTTGCCTAAGGCTATCCCCACATTGTGCTCTGTGGATCTAGCATCATAAACACAGCCTTGTGGTTCCTGCAAACAGACAGGCGGGATGCTGGGCCCTGGTGGCAGGGGAGGGACTCAAGCCCTGCTGCATCCCAGGGGCAGTCACTGCCCACCAAGCTCCCAGGACCAAGTCTGACTTCCAGACTCACAGCCCCTGGGGCTTCGTCTACTCTGCTGGGTCCCTGTGGACCGGGCAACTCCCTACAGGCCAAAGAGGCACAGGTGCTTGTTGACCAATCACACAGCTGCACACTCCAAGCCATTGGCTTTCTGCGAATTGATGGGCAACTGTCTCCTGGTGCGTGTTGTGTCACGCACTTTTGGGGGAGCCTGGACCCCTACCCTGGCCCCCGCTTGTTTCCCCACTTCCCAGAGGCATCATGGAGCAGAGCAGGATGTGGGGAGCCTCACTCTGCACCTTACAGGGGCTCAGCCAGGACGCTGATGTCTCAGGGCACAGGGAGATTAATCGCTCACCTGCAAGTCCACAGCCAAGGGATAGCCCAGCATCCCGCCCAACCTGCCCCCTCTCTCCACACACACACACACACATACACATACAAACACACACAACTGCTTGATGTGGTGTGAACTTGCTGCGCACAGGCAGGCATCAGACGCCCAGCCCCAGCCCAGGCCCAGCATGATGGGGACCCCAGAATTGCAGCTGCCTAAAACAGCAATGGGGACAACTCAAAGCCTAGTCTTGAGCAGAGCACACCTGCTCCTAAGCAGTTCTCAAAAGCTGCAGGCAAGAGTAGGGTTCCCAGGCGGCCTGGGCCATGCCATGCAAGGAGGAGTGTGGGCAGCAGAGAAGGACTCTGGGTGGGGGCCCACCACCAACACGACCTGGACATCAGGGCCACATCAGGTGGAGCTAGGTAGCATGTCTGGACATCAGGGATGCACCTTGGAGTCCCAGGCATCCTACCAGCACTTGCAGACTTAGCACAGCACCTGGCTGTGTTCACACTGGAAGCGCACGAGTAGTCCACTCCGATGGTCTCGGCCGAAACAACAGGTGCAGGAACACACTCTCCACCCCCACCAATGCCAGCATGGGAGCCATTCCCAGCAGTGATGGACGCAGTCAGATACAGAAATCCAGGCTGACTGTTGGCTGGCAGTAAAGACAGCCTTAGTGGATTTTGTGGGTGTTTGTAGAACTGGGGCCTTGAGGGAACCCGCACATCCTGTTCTTGAATGTGCAGGAGAATAGCATTAGAGTGAACGCCTGAAAAAGAAACCAATCTGGAACTCCCCAGACCTGTTTTGTAGATTGCACTTGGAGGCCCCCAGCAAGGCAGGTTGGACCGGTCCAGTTCTCTGCCTCTTCTCCGTGAGCGCACTATCCATCTCTGTGAGCGGAGGAGCCATCACGGAAGCATTGGCTCCTTGGGGACACTGGCATTCTAGTGGCACTGCCCTCCCCACCACTGTGCAGTCCGTCAACCCCTGCGAGGACTGCTCTGCAAACAGACCTGGACTTGGGAAGTCAGGGCGTTCTTGTGGGATGAGGTCAGCGGAGAGCAGCAGCCCAGGAGGCCACCTCATCCTCGCCTCCCCCCATTGCACGCCAAAAGGGATGCTGACTCACTGCCTATAAATACTTGGTCTGTAAATGGGGGATCTGGTACAAGAAAGGTCGACTATAAACTTGAACCTCTGGCCATGAATTCGGACTTGACCGTGAACAGAATTCCTGGTAACAAGCATTCTCATGAAAGATGAGGCTGTGATGTCTCAACATCTTACAGGAGGCCGCTCGCTGAGGCTGTGCCCATAACAATGCGTGGTCCGTGAGTTCTTACAGGTCTCAAATGATTTCTTGACAGCCTTGCATCAGCCATGTGTCTCCTCACTTCTAGCAGAAGCTGGAACCCTCAAAGCTTGCTCTCACTCTCTTTTCTAAAGTAGAAGTTTTGAAAGTTGTTTTTGAATTGTTGTTATTCTTTTCCATGGTTCAGTTTTGTAGCTATAGGGATTGGCCTGCACCCTTTCTCCCCCCCGCCCCCCGCCGTGTTCCCTCCCACCATTTTCCCTGTATTATTACAGTAGAATAATCCCTTAGTACAGTTACAAGTTTAATATTCTGCTTCTTAAGCACATCATGCCATTATGGGTATAGACAAAGGTAGAAAATCTAGTAGCATCTTGTCAAGATATATTTATCTGTTTCACTGGGATTCCTCCTTTAATTTGGGAGTGGAGATGCATACTGCAATGTGTCTTTACTTCTCGGTATGTTAGTCTCCCTTTTACAGTATATGGGGGCCCAGCGCAGGACCCCGGGTGCTAGATCCTCACCTTGTACATGTCAGGATCCCATGTGGGTGCTGGTTCAGGTTCCAGCTGCTCCACTTCCCATCCAGCTCCCTGCCTGTGACCTGGGAAAGCAGAGGAGGGTGGCCCAAAGCCTTGGGGCCCTGCACCTGTGCAGGAGACCTGGAAAAAGTCCCTGGCTCCTGATTTCAGCTCCAGTCATTCCGGCCACTTGGAGAGTGAACCAATGGATGTAAGATCTCTCTCTGTGTATCTTCTTATCTCTGTAATTCTGCCTTTGCAATAAATGAATATATATATATACATGATTAAATATACATATTAAATATATATACACATGTTTATCTATATATCTATTGATCTTGTATTTTGCAGAATCATTGCTTTATATCAGAGAGAAGATATGATATTTGTCTTTTTGGAACTAGCTTATGTCACTAAGCATGACAGTCTCCAGTTGGGACCATTTTGTTGCAAATAATAGAATTTCATTCTTGTAGTGGCTGTATAGTATTCCATGGATTAGATGTAGTATAGGTTTGTTTTTTGTTGTTGTTGTTGCTGTTGTTGTTTTTTTAAGGTTTATTTGGTTTTAGAGGGAAGTCAGATTTACAGAGAGAAGGACAGAGAGAAAGATCTTCCATCTGCTGGTTCATTTCCCAAGCAGCCACAATGATCAGAGCTAAGCCAATCGGAAGCCAGGAGCTTCTTCCAGGTCTCCCTGGAAGGGTGCAGGGTCCCAAAGCTTTGGGCCACCCTCTACTGCTTTTCCAGGCCACAAGCAGGGAGCTGAATGCGAAGTACATCAGCTGAGACACAAGCTGGTGTCCCTACGTGATGCTGGCGTGTGCAAGGGGAGGACTTTAGCCACCAGGCCACCGTGCCATGCCTCACTACAGTTTCTTTATTCATTCCTCTTTCGACAGGCATCTGGGTTGTTTCCATGTCTTTTCTATTGTGGATTGTGGTGCTGCAAATAAACTAGAAGAGTTTTAACGCTCTACGTGTCTCCCTACTCCTCTCACTCAGTGCTGGCCCAGCTAGCATCCTGTGCAAAGCATGAGCGTTGCCTCAGCAGTCACCGCCTGCCTGGCCTGAGGTGGCAGGTGTTTTGTCTGGGATATCGGAGCATCCTTCTCCATTCTGGTGGTCCAGGGGCACGGTGGCAGGGAGAGAGGAGTCATGCCTCTTTTCCTCTTGGGTCCCCGGCAGCCCTTCCAGGGTGGTGAACCCTCTCCAAGCCCATAGCCCCAACTTCAGCTGTCCTCTCTGATCCCACACATCAAGACATGAACTTGGCTGTGGCCACTCGCCTCTGACACCCTCCCCGACACACACGTGCACACACATCGAGAACCAAGCTTGGCTGGAACCACTCACCTGCTTCCCGCTGTTGTTGTGTGCTTGCAGTGAGCAGCCGGCAGCGAGGTGAGCCCTCGGCGAGAGTGGCTGGCAGGGAGAAGTGCGTCTACTTTTTCTGGCAAGGTCGCCACTCGACAGTGAGCGAGAAGGGAACTTCGGCCCTGATGACCGTGGAGTTAGACGAAGAGAGGGGAGCCCAGGTAAGACCCCAAGGGATGTGGGGGTAGACAGTGGGAGTCTGAGCAGTGAGGGGAGCCCCTGAGGTATGGCCTGCCCCTACCAAAGGACCTGATTCTATGCAGCACAGCTTCTGCAGGCACTCGATGCTCGGATGCAGTGCCAGCAGCAGCATCCCACAAAGTCTTGTGCGACACTCGTAGCAGGGGAATTGCAGGAGCCAATCAGCCCAGGGCTTTGAAAACTAGCAGGATGGTTTCTTTTAAGATGGAGGCCAGAAGGGCTGGCATGGTGGCAGAGCAGGTGAATCCCCTGCTTACAACGCAGGGATCCAGTCCCGGCATGGCGCTTCCAGTCCCTGATGCTCTGCTAGCCATCCAGCTCTCTGCGATTTCACCTGGAAAAGCAACAGGTGACGGCCAAGTGCGTGGGCCCCTGCCACCCACATGGGAGACCTGGATGGAGTTCCAGGCTCCTGGCTTCAGCCTGGACCAGTCCTGGGCTGCTGTGTCCATTTGAGGAGTGAGCCAGTAAGTAGGAGCTCGCTCTCTCTGTCTGTCTGTCTCTCTCTCTCATGCTTTGCCCTGGGAACAGAATTGGCCAGGATTCAGTAAGCTTGGAGCCCTCCCATGTATAACACGTGACGTGTGTACATGTGGCCTGCTGTACATGTAACACACACTGAATTGTACTCGTAGCGCATGCGGAGTGTGGCCGTCCCAACAAGCCGCTGTGGCTCGAGCAGCTCGCCAAGCCACCCAGTGATCCACTTGCCCAAACCCTTCCTTCGGTCATACCATCCTCCTCATTCCACACAGCACTGATTTTTCCAAACGCCTTCCTGGCTCTCTGCCATGCAAACAGTGCCCCTCCACTGTCTCCCTGGAATCCAGCATGTCACCCATACGGCTCTCCAACCCAGGCTACCCTGGCCTGCAAGCACCGCTAGCCCCCTGCCAATACAGGCCTTTATTCAAATGTCACCCCCTGTGCCTCCGTGACCCTAGAGTCTGCTTAACAGCTGACAGGTACTTGTGTCCAAATCCAAGGCTTGGTAAACATTTATTTTTACTGTGTGAGTGAATGAAGAATACATTCCCTCGCATCCTGTTAGTGTCAGGACATCGTAATTTGGAGCTAGCTCTGGGTTTGTTTTTGTTGTTGTTTGGAAAACGTGATGACATGTGCAGATGCGGTTCCTACCTTGGAGGCGTGCTTACAATACCACGGCTGAAGAAAGCAGATGAGTTTCTCTAGAAGCAAACCACTGCTCACCCGGCCTTCGGCAGTCTTAAAAAGCAATCACTTGGGGGCTGGGATGGTGATTCAACTGGCTAATCCTCCTCCTTAAGCACCAGCATCCCATATGGGTAGCTGGTCTAGTCCCGGCTGCTCCACTTCCCATCCAGCTCTGCGTAGCGCCTGGGAAAGCAGCAGAGGATGGTCCAAGTCCTTGGGGCCCTGCACCCACGTGGGAGACCTGGAAGGAGCTCCTGGCTCCTGGCTTCAGCCTGGCCCACCTCTGACTGTTGTGGGCTTTTGGGGAGTGAACCAGTGGGTGCGTAACTTCTCTGTCTTTCTCTGTATCTGTCTTTCTACCTTTCAAATAAGCAAAATATGTTATATATATATATATCATATATATCTATCTAGTATATATGCATGCATAGCAATATATATACAGTAGATGGTACTATATATAGTATACAGTGTGTATGTATTTATGGTATATTTACTAGTACTGTATATATAAGATAGTACTGTATATATTGGGCCACAATATCCAGGCCCAAGCCAGGCTAAAACCAGAAGCTGGAATCTCCATCCGGGTCTCCCACATAATTGGCAGGAGCTCCAACACTTGAGCTGTTTTTCCAGGCGCAGTAGCAGGGGGCTGGATCAGAAGTGGAACACCTGAGACTTGAACCAGCACTCGATAGGGGATGCTGCCATCCCCAGTGATGCCTTAATGTGCCGTGCACGGTCCTCTGCCCTCCCCCCCCCACTACACACATGCACATGGTATTTTAGCAGTGCATCCATAGGCGTATCATCTCAGGCTTCCATCTATCCATCCTGCTGTTTTTCAGGATTTATACGACAAGCGCATACTGTTGTGACATTGAACCTTGCCTGTTAACCTGTTCTGCCTTGTTCTTCCATCTGCAGGTGCAGGTTCTACAAGGGAAGGAGCCCCCCTGTTTCCTGCAGTGCTTCCAGGGGGGCATGGTGGTACACTCGGGGAGACGGGAGGAGGAAGAAGAGAGTACACAGAGTATGTCCCCCCAGGCTGCTACTGGGGTCTCAGTCGCTCCCCCACTGCCTAGACAGTGGTTGGCCAAGGCCTTGGAACGAGCAGACTCTCCCCCTGAAAACCTCTAGGGTCAGCGGATCCCTTTGCTGCAAGGGGAGCTCGCCGCCTTCCTCTCAGCCTGGGCACTTAGTTCACTGGGTGGCCACATGCCCTTGAATCCAGACCTCACTGAGGCTCTGTGCCCCCTTCGGCAGGAGAGGAAAGATAAATAAACAGTGGTTCTGAGATTTTTTTTGGTAGCCAGCATCCAAATATATTTTTGGATAAATACAAATCTTTGTATAGAATTATATAATATTTTATAGACATCTGCGTGTATGTATACACTTGTTACAGGACTTAGTGTAAACTTTTGGGGATAATGGTTTTCCTACCCCATGAACTCTGAGCACCCCGCTTCTAACTGCAAAAGCATTTGTTTTCTGGGGCTGCTGCACTGCCCACTGTGGCTCCTGGCTACCAATTAGTTCACCAGGCCCCTGGCGGGTTCCCCCCTTGCCCTTCCTTCCCTGCTCCAACTCTGTGCCTCTGGCGCCCCCTGCAGGTGAGTGGAGACTCTACTGCGTGCGGGGAGAAGTGCCCGTGGAGGGCAGCTTGCTAGAAGTGGCCTGCCACGGCAGCAGCCTGCGGTCACGCACGTCCATGGTGGTCCTGAACGTGAACAAGGCCCTCATCTACCTGTGGCACGGATGCAAGGCTCAGGCCCACACCAAGGAGGTCGGCAGGACCGCGGCCAATAAGATCAAGGAGCAGTGAGTGCCGTGGGTGCTGGCAGCTGGGGAGGGGAGGAAGAGCTCCTCCAGAGACCCCAGGGAGCCAAGCAGCCTCCCCAGGCTGTCTGAGACTCACACCCCCAGCTTTTCCTTGGAGATCAGGGGCAAGAGGCTGACCTGAGGCGGGGCAGGGTCTGTCCTTTTGTCCATCTGCGCTCCCACTCCCCCGGCAGGTGTCCTCTGGAAGCAGGCCTGCACAGCAGCAGCAAGGTGACCATTCATGAGTGTGACGAGGGCTCTGAGCCGCTGGGCTTCTGGGACGCTCTGGGCAGGAAGGACAGGAAGGCCTATGACTGCATGCTGCAAGGTGAGACACAGCCCCCCGGGCCACCATCCCAGAGCTCCGCTGTCGGCTGCTCAGCCCTTGCCCTGGGTGTATGGAGCACCTGCTGGGCCAGCACCCAAAACGGGTGTGCTCTCCTGAGCTCACCACCCACTGGACACATCAGGCAGTGAGAACGCTGGAAGCTCCTCATCAAACCAAATGCAGGAATTGTAAAGGACGGGAAAGGAAATGGAGTATCCAAAAAAAAAAAATCAGAGTGGCTTCCACTAAGAGCCAGCCAGCCTGGCACCTGCCTGCAGGCTGCCACTGGGACTTCTGTGTTGGCTAAGCTTAGTGATTTATTGCTAATATTACATCAACTGTGCTCTTCCTCGCCCTCAGGAAATGGCCATTCAGCATATTTTCCCCCTTGATTCTCTCTCTCTCTCTCTCTCTCTCTCTCTCTCTCTCTCTCTCTTTTATTTATTTATTTTTGTCTGAAAGACAGATTTTGCAGAGCGTAGGAGAAACAAAGAGAAAGGTCTTCCATCTCTTGGTTCATTCCCCAAACGATTACTATGGCCAGAGCTGAGCCGATCCAAAGCCGGGAACCAGGAGTTTCTTCTAGGTCTCCCGTGCAGGTGCAGGGTCTCAAGGCTCTGGGCTGTCCTCTACCGCTTTCCCAGGCCACCGGCAGGGAGCTGGATGGGAAGTGGAGCACACATCCCACCCACAGAGAAAAGAGCAGGCTGGAGGTGGCAGTGCGGGAAGGAGCAGGTCCCTCAGCCCCCTTTCCAGACCCCTTCCTAATCACCCCAAGTGTCCCTGTTGCACAAAACATGTGTTCCTCCTCACTGGAGTGCAGGCGGGCAGAGCATTCCCCCTGCCATGGATCAGCATGTGAAGGAAGGCCAGTTCTGACAAGCCGGGCATGGATTCAACACCGCGTAGGCAGTGACCGTAGCAACACCTACAGCCCAGCACCACCACTGTTCGCAGGTGTGGGCACAGGACCAGAGAGGCTGTTTTACCTGCCTAAAGCTGACCAGCAGTGGCATCCAAACATGTAGCCGCTCCAACATACTGTGGCTCCCGACTTTTACAAGCAAACACATACATATAGATCAATACGCATTTATGTATTTGAAAGACATAGTAAGAGAGCTATATTCCTTGGTTCACTCCCCAAATGTCCACAAATAGCCAGGTTGGTCCAAACTGAAGCCAGGAGCTTGGAATTCCATTTAAGCAGGGACCCAAGGACTTGAGCCATCCTCTGGTGTTTTGTCAGGTGCCTGAGCAGGGAGCTCACTTCTGATCTATCGAAAGTGGAAGAGGTGGGACTCGAACCAGTGTCCTAATGGCCACAAGCAGCACCTTCATCCTCCGTGCTCCAACACCAGCCCCTGATTCTTTATCATTACCTAGTTCCTGCGTGCCTTTCCGCTTTGAATAGTTCTTCCGTCATTACCATATCGAAGACCTTCCTCCCGGCCTGGAGAGAGTGTCCTGGCTCGGGCAGCTCCCACGCGTGTGTCTGTGGGTTCAAGAGTGTGTCGACGTTGACAGTCATGGTACTCTCTTTTCTTCTGCAGATCCGGGCAGTTTTAACTTCGCCCCCCGCCTCTTCATCCTCAGCAGCTCTTCGGGGGACTTCTCGGCCACAGAGTTTGTGTACCCTGCCCGGGCTCCCGCCGTGGTCAGTTCTATGCCTTTCCTACAGGAGGATCTGTACAGTGCGCCCCAGCCAGGTGAGGCTATAGCAGCAGGCCCCACCACCTCTCTGAAAAGCCTCCCTTAGCCCTGGGAAAGCAGCTTCTACTGCAACACCTCCTTCGAGCATCTCCTGCAGCCTCTCCAGTCTTCACGGTTGCCCACTGGCTGCCATGGCTCTAGCTCTCACACCTGCACTCCACACAGGACAAAAAGGGAAAGTGGGACAAAGGCAACCATTGCTGTGTCCCTCTCTCCCACCCTTTTGTCGATATCACAAAAGCTGCCCCTGGAAGACCCCATCAGGTTTCTGTTTAGGTGCTGTAGCCCAGAGGCCAGACCCATGGTCACCACAGCTGCAAGCATCCTGGGAAAGTAATGACCAAACGAAAAACGTTGGGAGGAGTATCTTCTGAAATGGTCACAAAGAACAATACCATTCCAACGCTCTACCATCATAGATCCAAGACTCCAACCCAGGACTTGCAGCTGCAAGTTAAGGGCAGAGTCCCAAGCCAGAAATCTCTCTGTGCTGATTCTCCTTGGGGTAGCCCTGGGGGATTGGGCTGCGTGGATCTTACTTCCTCCCACCAGCCAACCCTAACCTGGCAGGGGCTGCAGCCAGGGAGCCCAGCTGCCCAGCGCACCTGCCGCATGGTGGGAGACTTGCTGATGTTGTCCCTTGCCCACTGCCCCCATGCAGGGCTCCACCTCCAGCAGGCTGGTCAAGCCTGGGCCTGCGTCAGAGCTGTGAAATGGGTGGCAGCCAAGGGCTGCTGGGTGGGAGCCGAGCCAAGTAGAGGAAGAGGCATGCCGTCCCCTTGTATGGCAAGGGGAGCAGAGTGAGGCAGCCAAGGCAGAACCCTGCACTCCTTAACTGATTTGGCTCACACTCCCCCACGAAGGAGAGCTGGTGCAGATGTGGACAGCAGTGAGCTGAGCATGAGCGGGCTGGGCACACTCTCTGGGTGGTTCAGTGCTGCTGGCAGATGATGGGTACCCACAGCGGAAGTACTGGGGCTGAACAAAGGGAGGGTTTGAGAGACAAGGACACAGAGGTGCCGGTCACACCGTGCAAGCCACGTCCTTGGCTTGCTTGCTTTGCTCCTGACCTTCACCCTTGAGGGGAGATCCACCTCTCTTGCCCAAAGTGGCAGGGCCCAGGGTGGCCTCGGTAACATCTGGGGAGCCATGATGGAGCAGACACCTCGGTGAATGGCCCCTGACACCGGGTCCCATCCATCCTTGCCCTGGTCCAGCTCTCTTCCTGGTTGACAACCACCACGAGGTGTACCTGTGGCAGGGTTGGTGGCCCATTGAGAACAAGATCACAGGATCGGCACGCATCCGCTGGGCCTCGGACCGCAAGAACGCCATGGAGACGGTTCTGCAGTACTGCCGAGGTGAGGCTCCCGTGCCCTGTCCCCTGCCCCACCCTCCTGCACCTGCTCCCCAGGGTCCCGTCGGATGGGCAGCCAACAGATGGGAGTCTTGCCATAACTTCTTGACACTTCTGACTTGCACGCACCTGGCCCATGTTCCTCCCCGGGGGAGGGTCCCATGGTGGGGAGCCCTGAATGGGGTGACGCTTGCTGTGGGGAGGAGGGATAACAGACTTGCACTGGGCACCAGTGCACACAGGAAGCCACGCCCCCCTCCCCTGCCTGGAGCCTTTTGGCCACTCGCTGTGAGTTTAGTGTGGCCTGCAAACGGGAATGACCTGAGTGTCCAATAGGAGGTTTGCATCTTACTAAGCACACGCAGGAGTCCATGGCAACGTAGCAACGGAGAGAACCTGCTCCACAGGGTAGTGCATTGCTACAAACCATAATTTGCACCTCAAGCATTGACATCAGGGTTTTGATTAACAAGGCCCCGCCCCCGTGACCTTTGCCTTCTGGGTCCTTGTAGGGAAAAACGCCAAGAAGCCGCCCCCCAAGTCCTACCTGATCCACGCCGGGCTGGAGCCCCTGACCTTCACCAACATGTTCCCCAGCTGGGAGCATAGGGAAGACATTGCCAGCATCACGGAGATGGTGAGCCGGCCACGGGTCTGGGCTGGCGGCCAAGGGAACCCCACCTGCTGGGGGAGCCTGGGGAGACGCTCTCGATCCCCCAACTCCTGCAAGCCGGCAGCTGTCGTCCCACCAGCACATGTTAGCGAGTGAACTTGGGAGGAGCTAGCAGTGGGAGGCACAGTCCTGGCAGGCTGCCACACATGGCTCTCACCTGGTTCTGAAAAAGCAAAGGTGAACCAAATTCCTTTTCTTTAAAGCTTTTTTTTTTTTTTTTTTTTTTGGTTTGAAAGGTAGCATTACCTTTTAGAGAGAGAGATCTCCCATTTGCTGGTTCATTTCCCCAATGGCCGCGATGGCCAAAGCTGAGCCGATCCAAAGCCAGGAGCCAAGAGCCTTTTCCTGGTCTCCCACATGGATGCAGCATCCCACAGCTTTGGACCATCCTCCACTGCTCTCCCAGGCCACCATCAAGGGGCTGGATCAGTAGTGGAGCAATCTGGATGCAAACCAGCTCCCACGTGGGATACCAGTGCCACGGGAGGAGGTTTAGTCTACCATACCAAGGGGCCAGCCCCTAACTGAATCACTTTTAGGTAAAAGCTGCTGTTAACCTAAATCGTTGCATTTGGCATTGTGTTGCAAGCTTCAGGGACACTCCCCAGCATAATCCTCATGCTTTGCTGTTTGCCTTGTATAGAGGAGGCACAGAGTGAACCTGAGGTGCATGGGTGCTCCCAGATGACTAGAGGGATGAAGGAACTGCTACGGCCCTCATTAAGAGGGTGTTAAAAGAACAGCTGCACGTGGGGCATTCCTTGTACCAAGACATACTGTTAGCCAGAATGTGTGGGATTTTTAAAATCTGTTTGCAAGTTACAAGAGAGAGGGAAAGAGATCTTCTATCCTGTGGTTCACTCCCCGGGTGGCCATGTGGAAGCCAAGAGCTCCATCTAGGACTCCCACGTGGGTAGCAGGGGCCTAAGCACATGGGCCATCCTACGCTGCTTCCCCCAGGCCTGTTAGCAGAGAGCTGGATTGGCAAGTGGGCAGCTAGGACTCAAACCAACACCCACGAGAGATATTAGCATTGCAGGCTGTGGCTTTTTCTGCCATACCACAATGCTGGCTTCCAGAAAGTTTATCTTTTGCTAGTCACATGAGAAAGTAGAGCATTTTCTCCAGCTACAAAAAGTGTCTTCATTCATGAGTGGGGAACATCACCTTAGCCCCAGAGGATTGCAGGATTGCTGAGAGAATGTTTCTGTTTTTAACTTTGTAAGTTTTCCACCATGTGCAAGATCTCACTGGGAGAAATGAGCCAAGTGGGTTTGGTGGGAGGCCTCTGCTTCCTACCAGTGGGGGAGCCTGTTTAGTCATGTGGCCGAGGCTTATCACCACCTGTCTGCCACCTCCCCCCCCCCCGCCCCCGAGAGGACTTGAACTTCACAAGTGGAGACCACTAGCAGCTCCATGCGAATTCAGGATGAGTAGGGGGCCCGGGTCATGCACCCCTAACACTCTGGGGATTGACCACTGCCCCCGCGATTCCATCATGTATATGTTCACTGGAGCTCAGCCCTGGACCATGGGTTGGATAAACGGCATGGTACAAGGCGTGGGGGACGCTAGCCAGGGGACAGCTGTGAGTTCTGCTGATAGCTGAAGTCCGCACCGTTGTCACTCTGCATTCCTTTCCTTCCTTGGCACTCCTGGCCAACAAAAGTCAGCCTCCCCATGTCCCTGGTGTAGCAGCTGAGGCCAAAGTCAGGGGCTGGTCCTTGGTTGTGGGCAGGCTCAGTCCAGATCTGCTTCCCAAACCACTCAACCCGCCAGACTAAGTTGAAAGAGGAAAGAGAATTGATCCGCAATAACCTGTTCATACTAACTGATACACACAGTGTTTTTTCTTAATATACACTGTGTTTTTTTCTTACACTGCGTATATCAGAATATTCTAGAATATTCTAGAAGCTTTTCCTTATTTATTTTTATTATTATTATTCTATTATTTTTAATTATTATTCTATTGTGAATTCACACACAGGGACATGGGGAGAGGAGCTGGATTTCTTTTAGGGTAAATTCTTGTTAAATAAACAAATTCCATTCACTGAGATGGACTGGAGACTTGGTGGTAAGATTAGGTGACTCCTAAAAGCTTGGAGACCTGCAGGGCTCTGGTTAATTCTGATAGCAAGAATATATGCCTGATTAAAACAAAAAATTTGCACAGATTTCAAACACCTTGTTTTGCACCCACAAGACTTTCTCTTGAAAGTTCCCAGGGTCCCAGTATTCCAGGCCCACTGCCTCCCCACTGAGCAGGTGCATCCTAAAGCGTGGCCCCCATCCTCCCCAGGACACGGAAGTTTCCAACCAGATCACCCTGGTGGAGGATGTGCTGGCCAAGCTCTGCAAGACCGTGTACCCCCTGGCTGACCTCCTGGCCCGCCCACTCCCAGAAGGCGTTGACCCACTGAAGCTGGAGCTCTATCTCACAGATGAAGATTTCGAGGTGAGTGCCTGCCGGGAGCACACCTGGAAGGAGCCCCGCTCTGACCCAGCCTCACGCCCTTGGGGTGTCTGCCTGTTCCCCCAGCATGCACTTGAAGGGAACCCCACTCTGACCCAGCCTCACGCCATTAGGGTGTCAGTCTGTTCCCCCAGCATGCACTTGAAGGGAACCCCACTCTGACCCAGCCTCACGCCATTAGGGTGTCAGTCTGTTCTCCCAGCATGCACTTGAAGGGAACCCTGCTGCTCTGACCCAACCTCACGCCCTTGGGGTGCCTGCCTGTTCCCCCAGCATGCACTTGGAGGGAACCACCCCACTCTGACCCAGCCTCACGCCCTTGGGGTGTCAGTCTGTTCTCCCAGCATGCACTTGAAGGGAACCCCACTCTGACTCAGACTCACACCCTTGGGGTGTCAGTCTGTTCTCCCAGCATGCACTTGGAGGGAACCCTGCTCTGACCCAGCCTCACGCCCTTGGGGTGTCTTCCTGTTCCCCCAGCATGCACTTGGAGGGAACCACCCCACTCTGACCCAGCCTCACGCCATTGGGGTGTCAGTCTGTTCTCCCAGCATGCACTTGAAGGGAACCCTGCTACTCTGACCCAGCTAGGACGTGCACTTGGAGGGAACCCTGCTCTGACCCAGCCTCATGCCATTGGGGTGTCAGTCTGTTCTCCCAGCATGCACTTGGAGGGAACCCCATTCTGACCCAGCCTCAGAACGCTAGGGCGTGCGCTTGGGAGGGAGCCCGGCTCTGACCAAGCCTCATGCCGTTGTGGTGTCTGCCTGTTCCTGCAGTTTGCACTAGACATCACCAGGGAGGAGTTCAACGCCCTGCCCTCCTGGAAGCAGGTGAACCTGAAGAAAAGCAAAGGCCTCTTCTGAGCTGCTTTGGAGATGCCGGAGGCCACCTGCGACACACCAGGAAACCATGAGCATATGCGTACTTTTTTTTTTCTCTCGGATTGGTGTTTTTAAACAAGTCTTTTTAAGCCAGAATTTTCCTAATGGGACAGTATGATTGACACAGCTTGTCTTTGGTGAGTGCGGAAGAGAACTTTCCACAAGCCTGCAGGTGTTAAATGTCGACACCTGCCAGGTGCACTTGGGCCGGCCGTTCTGGTTGGCCACTGACAGACCTGAGCTCCCCTGACTTGGGCTGGGCAGTGCCTGTGTATTTTTTTTAAAAGCAGTTCTCTTTATAAAGTGTTATTTTGATAGCTTGTGAATTTAAAAGTATATATATATATATATATATTTATATAAACACCATATAAACCAGATACATATTTAACAAAGCAATAGGTATCCGATCACGTTTAAGATCTTTCTTGGTGTTGGGCATCCGAACCTGACAGATGCAGAGGGAGTCGCTTGTGCTGGAGTTAGCTCCACTAGGCCACGCGCGTGCAGTTAGATGAGTCTAGCTTCCTTTCCGTGTCAGCCAGGGCTGCTTCCGAGGGCTGCTTCTTCCGGTGCTAGCGTGAGCAGTGAAGCCTCACTGAACGGCACAGCCGCTGTGGAAATCCATGCGCCATCAACCCCCGAAATGTATAGTGCCTTGTTTTCATGTACAGTTTTATATACAGTTTGCTCTGCGGTTTTTTGATTTTTTTTTTTTTTTTTTGATGCTGGTTTGGAAGATTCTTGACGATTTTACAGTCCCTTCATAGAAATACAAGCATCTCAGTTTCTAAGAGCTGTTCGAAACTTGACACTTTTTTTTTTTTTTGAGAAGGAAACTCCCAAATAAAAGCTTCTGAATAAACACAACAACTCATGGATTGGTCTGTGGTCACTTCCAAGTGCATTCATTTCTGTAAGCAATCTTGTTCCATGTCAAGCCCGTGTCAGAACGTTGCTGTTGACTGCTAGCCGCTGTGACGTTGGGGAGTATGTAAATCGTGACGTGAATGATACAGAGGTGTAGGTGGGCAGTGTGGCAGAGCAGCTTGAGCTGCCATGCTTGGGAAGCCAGCAGCCCACATCAGGGCGTGGGATCAAATCCCACCTCCGCTCCTTAAGCCAGCCTCCTACGGTGGTGATGGCTTCAAGTGCTTGGGTTTCTGCCGCCCACATGGGAGACCCCAGTGGATGGAAGAGCCTGGGGGAGTGGTGGGGCAGGGCAACAAGAGGGAGGGTGTCACACTATCTTTCAAATAAATAAACATATATGTTTTGAAAAGTACAGATTTGGGGCTGGTGCCATGAAATGTAGGCTAAGCTTCAACCTGTGGTGCTGGCATCCCATATGGGCACCAGTTTGAACTCTAGCTGTTCCACTTCCTATCCAGCTCCTTGCTAATGCGCCTGGGAAAGCAGCAGAAGAAGATGGCCCAAGTGCTTGGGACCCTGGATCCACATGGGAGACCCAGAAGAAGCTCCTGGCTCCTGGCTCCTGGCTTAGGACCAACCCAGCTCTGGTCACTGCAGCTATTTGGGGAATGTACCAATGATAGAAGATTCTCCTCTCTCTCTACATTTTAAATAAAAAATAGATCTTAGACAAAATATTCACAGATTTGACTCCATAAAATTGGTTCTGAGAACTATAGACCTGATTTTGCAAATCATCTTTCAGTAGCAGCTTCCTATCCTACAGCTATAATCCAGATTTCTTGGCACTTTTTGTTGAAAATAAAAACAAAAGTGTAAAACATCTAGAAACTCACAGATATGTCAGCAAACTCTTAACAAATGCACAAGTCCTGGGCCCAGCGGCGTAGCCTTGCAGCTAAAGTCCTCGCCTTGAACGTCCTGGGATCGCATATGGGCTCCGGTTCTAATCCTGACAGCTCCACTTCCCATCCAGCTCCCTGCCTGTGGCCTGAGAAAGCAGTCGAGGATGGCCCAAAGCTTTGGGACCCTGCACCCGTGTGGGAGACCTAGAAGAAGTTCCTGGCTCCTGGCTTCGGATCGGCAGAGCATCGGCCATTGTGCTCACTTGGGGAGTGAATCACCAGACGGAAGATCTTCCTCTCTGTTTCTCCTCCTCTCTGTATATCTGACTTTGTAATAAAAAACAAAATAAACCTTTAAAAAAATGCACAAGTCCTTGAAGCACCAAATCCATGGGCTTCCACTTGGACTATCTCTGTTTCTCCCTCTCTCTGTAACTCTTTCAAATAAAAATGAATCTTAAAAAAACAAACAAACAAACAAAAAATACCTGTCTGGTCCAGAGCAGTAGCCTAGTAGTTAAATTTCTTGCCTTGCACACACCAGGATCCCATATGAGCACCAGTTCATGTCCCAGCAGCCCTGCTTCCCATCTAGCTCCCTCCCATTGGCATACGAAAGCAGCTGGGGACGGCCCAAAACCCTGGGACCCTGCACCCATGTGGGAGACCTGGAAGAAACTCCTGGCTCCTGGGTTCAGATCAGCTCAGTTCTGGCCATTGTGGCCCTTTAGGGAATAAGCTGGTAGATGGAAGATCTTTCTGTCTTTCCTTCTCTCTGTCAATCTACCTTTCCAATAAAAATAAATAATAATAATAAAATGATTTTTTTTAAAGCACAGTGATGCTGACTATGCACACAGCAATGGCTTCTCTCGCCTCCTGCTCCCTCTCTAACCCAAGCGGGACACAAGTAGAATCCCCCTAGCAAATCTACTCATTTTAAGTGGGTAAAGGCCCTGGAACACAATGGCAGACACAATACTAACCCACTGCAACAATGATTGCAAAAAGAATCCTCCAGACAGCCGTGCGAGCCTGGAAGAGAATTGTCTAATCAGCTCGCTTAGGGTCCATGGTTCCAGAGAGGAAGCCCTCACTTCAGACGTGGCCGGTTCCGGTCAGGTGCCTCATATTCAAAAGATCAAACTCGCAGATCGAGGCGGCAAACGGAAGGTGGGATGGTAGACAGCACAGCTGGGTTTGGGGGGGCTGTTGACTGTCTCAAGGGACTTTGCAAGTGCTTTATTTGGGGAACATGCTTTACACCAGTGTGCGTTGAAGGGAGAATTCTACCCATATACCCCTGATTCTGGAGGCATCCCAGTGTTGCCTGGTATAAATCTTGTGAATTTCCTAACCAACTTCCTAGTGGTTGCCTCCTCTCTCCCTGCCGATTTACTTCTGTTCTTCCAGCGTTCAGAGAACATTTTCCCAAGGACACAATGGATTCGCACTCACAGTTGTGTAAGGATTTAGCCACAATTTGAGATTGCTAGAGGCAGATGCAACTGCATTAGATTCTTGGTTTCTTGGTATTCATAATGTATAACTGGCCACCGTGACACAAGTCCCACAGCTGGATCGTTCCAGGGAGGACTAAGCTTTCTTCTTGATCAAATCAATCAATGGCCTTGAGCGTGAGCACGTGCGGGTCATGCCGCACTCACAGCACACAGCTGCGATCACTGCCCCACCCCCCAAATCAAATGCTCTCCGCTTCCCACAGCCCCTCACCGTTGACAAGTGACTTTTGGTGCTGGGGTTGGCAACTAGCCTGAGCGGGCATGTTACAAATACGGGGCAAGCCAAGGTCACCTGCTGACATGTTTTTAAATAAGTATATTTTTTCAAAGTTTTTAATTTCTGTTTTGAAAATCAGGCTTACAGAAAGAGAAGACAAAAATATCTTCCCTTTGCTGGACCACTCCAAAGCCAGGAGCCAGGACTTTCTTCTGAGAGCAGGGGCCCAAGGACTTGAACCATTCTCTGATGCTTAAAAAAATTTTTTTATTTATTATTTTTATTGGAAAGGCAGATTTACAGAGAGAAGGAAAGACAGAAAACTCTTTCATCGGCTGATTCACTATTCAAATGGCCACACCAGCCGGAGCTGAGCTGATCCAAAGTCAGAAGCCATGAGTTTCTTCCAGGTCTCCCATGCGGGTGCAGGGTCCCAGGGCTTTGGGCCATTCTCTACTGCTTTCCCAGGCCACAAGAGGGAGATAGAAGGGAAGTAGAGCAGCCAAGATACGCGACCCGGCACACTTATGAAATTCCAGCATGTGTAAGGCAAGGACTTTAGCCACTAGGCTACCATCCGGGCCCTCTCCACAGCTTTTCCAAGTGCATTTGCAGAGAGCTGGAATGGAAGTGGAGCAGCTGGAACTCAAACTGATGCCCATATGGGATGCAGGCACCACAGGTGCCTCAGCCTACCATCCCATGGCACTGAGTTCAATGTTTGTCCTTTAAAAGATTTATGTATTTATTTGAAAGGCAGAGTTAGAGAGAAAGAAGAGAGATCTCCTATGTGTTGATTCACTCCCCAAATAACTGCAGCATCTGGCACTGGGCTGAGCTGAAGCCAGGAGACTGGAACTCCATCTTGTGCTTCTTTCCCAGGCGCACTTACAGGAAGCTGGATTGGAAGCGGAGCAGCCAGAACTCAAACCGGTGTTCAGATGGGATGATTACCCACTATTAACCCACTGACTGAAGCTCCACTCTGACCCCTCCTGCTGACAGCCTGAACTGGGCAAAGATAGAGGAGATTGTGTGTGTGTGTGTGTGTGCGTGTATGTGTGTGTGTGTGTGTGTACACATCTACATATCTATATAGCTATAGCTAGAAGGGAGGGAAGGGGGAGAAAGAAGCCACAGACCCAGGAGGAAGATAAAGGAGGAGCTGGTTTATTATGTACATGACACCCAGGTCTACCCTACATAAAAGCAAGAGCCAACAGGCCATGTCACATGCCACATGTCACATGCTCCAACGGCTGCAGCCACCCCGTGCATTTTAGAGCCTAAGGAGTTCAGGCTGTAATTAATACTCTGATGGAACCAGAGAGAGAAAGAGAGAACTTGCCTGTTAGGGGAGTGAGCAGAAAGGATGGTTCCTGTCCATTGGTTTCAATACTGCAAAAAGAATGCATCTACAGAGGAGCTGAAAGTACACCAAGACCGGTGTAATGTAGACCCCAACCTCCATCAGAACAATTACCGACAATTACTGATGAAGGGTAAGAAAACTGTCGATAGAAGTGCTTAGAGCAAGCCGCACTGGGACTACCACATCCGGTTTCTGCAAAATGAACTGCTTATTCCACAGATGAGAAGTTAACAGGTTAAAAATCAGAAGGGCTAGGTGGACTGGCATAGGGGATGCGTTGTCGGGGAGGGACGAAATAGAACCTATGCCATGGACTACTCCTCAATACTTCCTGTTTGTCCAATCATCCTGTTTGTCACTAGCACCAAGATCATATTACACATGTTAAGAGATGTTAAGCCATCTCTTCTGCAGGTTAACAATATGATGTGCTAGGGTTTAGCACTAAGCCTCTGCCTGCAGGACCTGCATCCCCTATGGACACTGGTTCAAGTCCTGGCTGCTCCTTTTCCACATCCAGCTCCCTGCTAATGAACCTGGAAAAGCAGTGGAGGGTGGCCCGAGAACTTGGGTCCCTGCATCCATGTGGAAAACCTGGATCGGGTTCCTGGACTCCAGCAATTGCGCCATCTAGGGAGTGAACCATAGGATGGAAGACCCCAACCTCTTCCTCTTTATTTCAAATAAATCCTTTTCTTCTTATTATTAAAACAAACAAGAAATGAGTCATTCAATTCAGCAGGCTGTGATGTCACAATTGCTTCCCTGCTCGTGGGCCCCCGGCCTGGCTCAGCCCTGGGTGAATGCTGTGCTGTCCCCAGCCGTCCCTGCGCACACTCACCCTGCTTGCCGTTTGGGCCTGGGGCGCCCAGCCACCACGGGCTGCCTTGTGTCTCTCGTGGGGCAAGCTCTGTGGTGGGTGAGAAACACAGGCTGCCTCAGGCTGGGAGGCAGACCACCAGTGTCTCTGGGGACCCCCT